GTCACTTCACAAATCCAGAAAGCCTCAAGGCTAAAAATCGCCTTTCTTAACATTGCCTAATTATGGCAGTATTTATAAACACAGATTTGTTTGACTGCAATGCTGCAACCATTATAAAAGTTGTGGTACTAGTGCTAAAACTTTGATTTAACAGACTTTATCCTGACCTTTTGTTGACATCAATTGTTTTATGCCCTAAAGACGTACTCTTACTTACATGTTCAGTTTAAAATGCTTACTAGGCGTTTGATAGATCAGAGATCAGTATAGTGGGTTGTTTCCTGTTGATATATGACTTAAGTATTTAATCTATATATTAAATCTGACTGCATTTTAGTTTTGCTGAACTGATTGGAATTTCTTCTCCTTGCTCCAGGCTGAAATTGTTGAATTTCTGAAGAAGTCCAAATATTGGAAGCAATCCGATGGTAGAGATCATGTAATCCCCTTGCATCATCCAAATGCCTTCAAGTTTCACAAAGCTCAGGTTAAAAGGGCTATTTGGGTTGTAGCCGACTTTGGCCGTGCTAACCGAAATTTATCTAATCTGCGGAAAGATATTGTGGCCCCATATGTACATGTGGTTGAATCGTTTGTTGATGATGATCCTCCAGACCCGTTTGAGTCTCGCCCCACACTTCTCTTTTTCCGAGGAAGGACAATTAGGAAAGATGTATGTAAGATTGACACTTATAAGGATATAATCATATGTTTGAAAATCTCGATTTAACATAGCTTGTATCTGATTCGTTCCTCACATCCCAGGATGGAAGAGATCGTTTGACATTGCAGAAAATATTAGCTGGTGAAAGGGATGTTGTGTTCCAAGGAAGTGAAGATGTGACAAATATTGGCATACAAAATGTAAGTACCTTGCACGCCCAATTAAGTGTACTAAACCTATCATATTTCAGTGTGCAGTTTGTAATGATTATTCCTAACTTGCATATAACTTCGCTCATGTGTCTGTGGCTAAAATGATATGCATCTAATTATCTAAATACGACCTTCTTAAGATTGATTATTGTCATACATTCTGCTTTACATTTTTCTTATCATTACTCTTATCCTTTTCAATAAAGAGTCCCGATTAAAAAACTTCTATCCCAAAAAAAGAAACATGTTTGATTAAATAAAGCTGAATTATAAACTAAGAAGCTTTTATAAAGCATACGTCGCATTACTGATTTATAATGGTTGTGCACCAGATAGCCTTCCAAATAAGGTTTAGCTTAAGCGCCAGAGTACTAAATCGCTGATAACTAGCCAAATAGTAAAATTGTTCTTTTTTATCAAATAAAAAATATACGCCAGTAGTCCCACCGTCCCAGTACACATATCACTTACTACCTCTGTCGCAAACCAAGAGTCATGTTTTACCAATGTACAAGTGTACAACTATTATACTGTGAAGTTGGTTATGTTCCATGATTTGCATTTTTGTTTCACAGTATCAATCATGTAATGGACATGACAATAGTAACCATCTTAAGTCATCTCCGACTCATGATATTAAACATGCAACTGGAAATAACCTAATATTATTAATTTATTTTAGAATTCCATCTTATATTGCTTCATAGGAAGGTTAAGAAAAAATAGCAGTATGCTCAAAACATTGCCAATCAGCCTTTATGCATGGATTGATTAGTTCACTAATCTTAGAAAATCCTTAGGTTGTTTTAAATTGCCCCAAATAAGGTGCTGATAACTATGATTAGTTTATGTTGTCAAATGATAAATCATACCAGGCCATCAACAAAGATACACTACCAAAAGAAAGTTAATACTTCCTCCGTTCTTTTTTAATTGCAACAGTCAACTTTTCACGCTTGCCAATGCATAAATTTGACCGTTAATATCTTTCATTCCTTATTAGTAAAAAAATTAAAAAAAATCAGATTTTGAAAATTTATTATGAGAGGAATTTGAAAATAATTTTTAAAAAATTTAACTCATAATACATTAATAAATAAAATGTAGTCAAAGTAGAATCTGTGAATAGTGAAAAAAGTCCTACGTTGCAACTAAAAGAGAACGGAGGTAGTATATGACATTTACATTGTCTAAACTCTAAACAATGAGAGGTGTGGGGTATGTTAGTTCTTGGCAGGGGTTTAAGTAATAAAGCTGAAAGCATTGGAGATTTAACCAGTTAGACTTTACCATTAGTAAGCAAAGAATCATATTAACCATATCAAGTCATTTTTTACTTTCCATCATGGCCCTTTATTTGTAGATCTTTGACATGTGTAATAATGCTGGATTAGATCTTTTGAACATGTTTTTTTTTTGTTTTCACTACAGTCCACCAAGGGAATGCGTTTGTCGAAGTTCTGCCTACATCCTGCTGGAGACACTCCCTCATCATGTCGCCTCTTTGATGCTATAGTGAGCCATTGTGTTCCTGTTATTGTGAGTGACAAAATTGAGCTACCCTATGAAGATGAAATTGATTACAGTGAGTTTTCTATCTTTGTCTCACGCGAGGATGCTAAGAAAGAAGGCTATATAGTGAATCAGCTAAGAAATGTTTCAAAAACAAGATGGCTTGAGATGTGGAGGCTGCTTAAAAACATTTCCCATCGCTTTGAGTTTCAGTACCCTCCTAAGAAGGGCGACGCTGTCAGTATGTTGTGGAGGCAGGTTAGGCACAAGCTTCCTGCTGCAAATCTTGATGTACATAGAAGCAAGAGGTTGAAGGTACCTGATCCATGGTGGAGATAGTTCAAACCATTCTTCTAAGTCACCCTCATATGTAATCCTTCATTCTTGGAATAGTGAACGCCGAAAATAGGGCTCTTTTGGTGAATGTGTAACAAGAATGGGTAGCAAGTCCAACAAGAGGCAAGGCCCACAAAATTTGAAACATGTGCACTACAAAATGTTAAAGAGAGGAGGTTTTAGAAGGAAAGGATTACAGAACTAAAGACACACGAGGAAGAAGAAAAGAAATTTTAGGGGCCATATGCAAAGACCCCTTTCCTAAAAATGAGTAGTGTTGATTAGTCTAGAGTTTATACCTTTTAGTTTTGGCAAGTGATAAATGTTACTCCGTACTACTATATATTAACAATTCTACGCATTATTTGATTTTATTCACAAGTCTTACTAAATTTATCGTACGTATAATCTGTGTGACTTCTTTTGTAACTTCTATGAAAGATTTACTTTATATAATCAAATAGAACTCCTCTATTGGTAAAATTTTGCAATATGGCACTTTGTTAGGTTGAAATAATGATGATGAAATGAATAACTAACCAACCATAAAATAAATAAGGATATAATTAATGGGAGATTGGGAGGTGTGCAAGTATGGATGGACCGGTTCGGGCCTGGGCCCGGCCGGGCCTCGGTTCAGAAACAGGAGGCCCGGAACCGGCCCGGGTAATCCCGGGTCCGGGCCGGGCCTCGGTTCATTTTTTTTTTGGCTATTCCTAATTAACCCCCAACCCTCCCCCCTCACCCCCAAACTATCCCAAACCACCTCAAATGGCCCAAAATACCAAGCCCAACCCAAAAACTTAAAAAAAATTCAAAAAAAAAAAAAATTGGCCCGAACCGGGCCGAGCCGGCCCGAACCGCCCCCCGGACCGGTTCCCGGGCCGGGCCGGTTCAAACAGTAACCAGGCCGGGCCGCCCGGCCCGAGTCCATCCCTATGTGCAAGTATATGAGTTTGGTGTTGCACCGTTGCATCACTCCATCTACTACCATCTATTATTCCACAGCGTTTTTATATAAGTAATCCATCACTCCATCTACTACCATCTATTATCCCATAACGTTTGTATAAGAAAACCATCTTTTGTGAATTGGTCATAATAATTTCTATTTTAAACATAAAGGGTTATACTCCTTCCGTTCCGAAAAGGTTGACCATAGTTGACTTTCACGTGGATTAATAAAGTAAAAATTGTGTGGTTGAAATTTGTGCAGAGGAAAGAAAATTAACTTTAGCCACATATTTCCTATTTTAAGTGAACATGACAAATCTTTTTAGAATATACCCCCCCCCCGTCTCGCTATGATTGTCCCATTTTACCATTTTGGTCCGTCCCACTAAAATTGTCTCATACCTTATTTGGTAAAGTTTGTGTGGTTCTAAATCAGTCATATTTTATTCTTACTTTATCAATTCAATATCAATCACATAAACTCACTTTTCTTAATAACCGTGTCACCTTCTTTTGTCCCAAACTTAGGGGGACGGAGGTAGTACAAAAAAGGAAATTTGGCCAACCTTTTTGGGACGAAGGGAGTATAATCAGGGGCGGAGGCAAGGGGGGTCAGGGTGGTCAGCCGACCCCGCTGAAAGTTCAAGAATGTAGAGCTCTGAAATACCTTCGATTTGATATATTATGGGTCCCGTAACTCATTACGGGTAAAAAGTTATGACTTATGAAAAAATCAGCACCATCTTAACTTCAAATAAGAAAATTTTGATGTATGACTTGGTTATATTCTTAAATTTAAAAATTAAACACCTTATTCAGTCATTAATTAGTTGTGTGAACATTATGATACATTACATATATATCAATACATTAAGTAAAAAGGACTCATTAAATAACCATTTATCTCAGCCACATATGAAACATTTAATTCATGTATTGTATAATAACTATTCATCCTTTTTTTTACTGTGTATAATTAAACTCCGACCCCCCTCACACACTTTTCTGGCTCTGCCCCTAAGTATAACATACTGATGTTTTCTTTTGAATTGTTTTTAGTCCCAAACAGATCAAACCAGACCAGAATTAAACAAAATAGTTTGGATAATTATAAAATACATAAAGATCAGATGTTTGCCACACCAAATCAAATCAGACCAGCAAATTTCAATTAAAAAGAAAACATCCTTGTGAGTCCTGACTCGTGAATCGTGATGAGAAAACATGCATGGGCCGGACCTTTTATTCCTCCAGCCGAAGCCCACGAGAGCCCGAAATTCTAAATACCCTTCCCGTAGCTTCTAGATCCTGCTGAAAAACAGCATCTCCACAAAAGCGGAATCTTCCCTATAAAAAATCTTTCATTGAGGCACAGGATCACGTGACTTTCTGTTTGCAACTTTACATCGACGAAATCGCACGTATTCTTTTTTATTATTAGTTCTTCTACAGAAGCTTCACGTTGATCACAATTATCGTAGTCGTCGCAAAATCGAGAAAATGGATTCTGAGAAGGTGAGTTTGTATTGATCTATTGTTTAGATTCGTTATCTTTGTCTTCATCGAATGAGTCGAATTTTCGTTTCTTTTAATTAATAAATTTGGATCGGCTTGTACAGATTGAGACGGAGAAGCGTGAGAGAAAATTGAAGCACTTGGGTTTCGTGAAAGTGATTACCTTCAACGCCGTCGTGTTGGTATCGAATCTGTACGAGTATGCGAAGCAGAACTCTGGACCGCTCAGATCGACCGTTGGTACGGTGGAAAACGCCGTGACGACTGTGGTTAAGCCTGTATACGAGAAATTGAAAGATGTTCCAGATGATGTCCTTGTATTTTTGGATAAGAAGGTAATTTATTGATTTGATCAATCAGGGCATGTTTTTTTTGTTTGTTTTAAGGTTTTCCAAAGATATATGATACATTGATTTGCTATACTGCAAACAAAAAACTAAAAACAGCTTTGTATTGGTTTTCATATTTTTCTTTTTTTTTGTTTTCAAATAACAAAAAAAAAATGATATCGGCCTGGGCTTGGTTAATTGTTTCGTTGTTTGTGTATCTTTTTTGTAAAATTATTCGGTGTTTGAACCCACCCAATTAACATGCAACTTGTACTGAATTAAAACGTTTCCCGTCCTGTGAATCCGTGAGTGATGATGATATGATTTGAGTTTTACTGTTTTTAATAAGAAAGTTGTGGTTTTTTGTGCATGAAGAAAGAGTAGTCTAAAAAACAAATACGGAGTATAACAGATTAGTGCCATCCAGATTCATAGTACACAACAGGCCACCCAAAGAATAGTCACACACAGTCTCAATATTTGGGGGGTACTTTTTATGAGGGAGACCCTCATTAAATAGTCAGATAAATTCAGGCTCTTGATTACCTCATTGGGAAAAATATCAAATAAATTCGGCTAATTGTATTCCCTTCTCTGTGTATATGCTTCAAATTAATAGCTGCCACTGTCATTTTCTTTGATATCCTCATCATATCATGAGCTGTGGCATAAAGAGATGTGAAAAGGGATGTGTTGTCCTTCAGATAAACATATTTATTTGTATGTGGTGTATAACCATTTTGCTAGAGGAGTTTGTATGATAACTTAGCACAACCTAAGCAAACCCAACATTTGGTGTGCGGGTGTGCCTGAGCTTAACCTTATAAAATAGACGAGCTGCACCAATATTTTATTTGTTTAATTTGTGAGGTCTTCTTATGACCAAAGTTCATCATCTCTCCGCAAAAGGGGTTTGATTTAATAGCCTTTTTACCAAAACAGAGTAATATTTCAAACAAAGCTATTTTATTTTTATCTTATTTTCCTAAATAATTCTGCAAGGCATGTGAAGTTATTTTTTTTAAATACTAGTGACATAATGTTTGTATCTTGGTCAGACATGACTTATTATGTTGTATAGTTGTAGTGTTATACCGGCATCGATCATCTTAGTGGTTCTAAACCTCCAAAATTCCAAGTGAAGCCAAACATGTTTGTGTATGAACCTGTCCAGATGGTTTGTTTGCTTTTCCAATGTGCTCTATTCTGCATGATGTGGGGAATGAGATCCTCTGCACCAAAAATGTGCCCCCCACCTTCTAATATTGTATTCCGGATTTCAAACCCTTGAATGACTGCTGTGTATTTCTCCTCCACAATAGTCGTGGATTAGAATCAGTAAATACACAAGGCATTAATTGAAAATTGTTTTTTCATAATAGATCTCATCTTACATGCAGATTACCACGTTAGCCATTTTCATTGATATTTCTGTTTCATACCTTGTCTTTTTATCAGGTGGATGTAGCAACTGAGACATTCCATTTTCATTGATATTTCTGTTGCATACCATGTCTTTTTTATCAGGTGGATGTAGCAACTGAGACATTTAATGAACGTGCACCGCCTACGGTCAAGACACTCGTGAATCAAGCCCAAGTTATTGTCGTGAGTGTATCTCATGTCGCTCAAGATTTGATCAAAGAAGCTCGCCTGGCTGGTCCACGAGCAGCTATCAACATGCAGGTCAGATGTCAAAGCAGTTTGGAGTGAATCAGTTGGCAGTGATATGGTACCGTGTGAATCTTTCCCCAACCTTGCATGGTGTTGCAGTTGTAGCTGCATCAATGGCTGCTCACGGTTCTGAGAAGTATAACAAACTGGTTAAAGATATGAAGGCAAAGGGCTATGATATATTCAGCTATGCTCCATTGGTTCCTGTTGAAGAAATCTGCAAGGCATACAAGCAGGTGGAGGCTACAGCAACAAAGGACGATGACACTTCCTCAGAATCATCAACAGAATAGGATGGTTTTATGCGCCCAAATCTTGTTAACACAAATATATATGTTCTATACATTGAACGCCTAGTGTGATGAATTGCTGCTGTAGCAAAAGTGTTGTATAAAATGACTTTACATCCTCAGGATGTATTTAATGTGAACATGATTTCCTTAAAATATTGTTATTGTCCATAAATGTCAAGACTTTTCCAGTCTTATACCTGGCCCTACTTCTAGATTTCCCAGGGTTGACCGGTTGAGGACCTCATTGCATTGAGCAAAACAGAGTGATCATGAAGGAGGTTCTCTGAAAATGAAAAGAGGTAGTTTCCAGAATTATATTTTTTTTATCACATCTATTCATATCAAAAATTCTGGATCATTACATCAAACAAATGGAAAATAAAACTGACACCAACTGAAACTCCAACAACTACGACTGTAATACTATGGTGAGACTTTGAGACGGTCACCCCTGAAAGAGCAACACGAATTGCTAACCATGTAGTGGGTTTGACACAGCCAAATCTGTTCTCATAAATCCAACCATACCCAATGACATAAAGATAGGCTAAAAACTCAAACAAATTGTCAAAACCAACAACAAAGATGAACACAAGAAAACAAATGACAAACAGAAAAAAATTACTAGGAAAACTTTCACAGACTCTAGCACCTCGTACAACCCATGGTGGTGGTTCGGTGGAGGTCGGAACGTCGCTCGATTGATACCCTCTTTCAGTGGCGTACCCGTCGGATGACACAAATCCATACCATCGAATGGAGCGTTTAGCCTCTCCACGCAAACCATGTCCCGATCCTCCCTATGTCCCTCTCGCTTCTTCCACCATCTTCTCGCTGACACTTTCATCCATCACGAGCTACGTCCAAACCACGGCAATCCGGCGCAGTGCAGCGTCGATTGAAAGAAATGCCGCACCAGAGCGGCGAAGAAAAAACCCTACGCGAGAGATCTCGCTAGGGAAACACTGACCAAACTTCGATAAAGAAAGATCGAAATAGGAAATAACCTAGCGGCGGCTCTGCCCTAGGAGCTCTCTACGCCTCTACGGAGTTCGTTCCTCTTATAAGAACAAAACAATTATGGTCCAGAATTATATGAAATGTAAATCATGTGAATCATTACAGTCATTTAAATGTAAGTTGTTGAAATGTAAACTGTTTTAATAGAAATTTAACTTGGAAACAAGTCAGATGTAACTTGGGATATCTAACTTTAAGTCTTTAACCAATTGAAATGTAAAACGCCTTTATAGAGATGTAACTTCATGTATTAATTTGACTGCGCTGTTTATACATATATAGAGTTTTTTTTATTGCCTTCCAGATTGAATTTTTAGCTGAATTTGATATGGATAAACTAGACTTGATGAGGAACATGTTTAAAAAATGTCATAAAAAAATTATAAAGGAAAGGACCCGTCGGCAGTCCTTTCAATATGAAGTGCCCTCTATATCATTGAAATGTAACAACTAACAACAGGCAAACATGTAAATTAGAGTTTAAATATCAATATATTAGTTTATCGCAAGAGACTTAAGTGTATATAAAAAACCATTGTAAATCTAGTATCAATCATTAAATTTCTAGAAACCCTCGCAAAAAACACTCACAAAAAAACTTTCTAGAATTAAGACAAGAACTAGACAGAATATTATATTACTCCGTAATAATTAATAAATAAAATAACATGTTTTAAAATAAATCTTTTATGGCATCAATTGAATATACTTATGTCAAATCTCAATATTTTCGAGAAGCCAACCCATCGTGATGATAACATCCGCCATGAATCGAAGGAGATGCTCTTATGTTCGATGTTACATTGTTATGTCCGAGCAAAACATTCTAAATTGGCAACATTCCAAGGCTCCAACATTCCTAATAGGCAAACTAATGGATGAGCTTAGCCGTGGCTTCAAACGGCAAACCATAGTACCATACCAAACTAGGGGTGGACTCGTACCCGGTCCCTGGTCTTGATTCTTGTCCCGAACTAGCCGATCCTGAGTCCCTAATTATACGGGTCGTGATCCCTATCCGGGTACCCAGTCCGGTCCTGGGACGGTTTGGGCCCACCTCTTTAATTTAAATACGGGAGTAAAAGAAATCAGATGTTGGGACCGGAATCAAGACCGCCCGATCTGGTCCCCATTTCTTTAACCCGAGACCAGGCCCGCCGGATACCCGGTTCTGCACTGAAACCGCAAACCGGTCCCGGTCCCAATCCGTGACTGCCGACGGGTCCACCCCTATACCAAACTAACCATCATTTTACGAATCATGAATATTGATTTTTTGTTGTAAATTTCACGACTTTTATGTTTGTTTGTAAAAGAAATTTTTGAAAAAATTATATATTGAATTTAATACTCCGTAGAATTTAATTAATGCCTTAAAAACAATATTGGGAATAATCTACATAACTGAAACAATGGCCAAATTACCAGATTGGTGAAAAAAAAAGGCTGTTGGACAGATAGGTAAAAAAAAACAATTTGAGGCAAATTGGTAAAATAAAAAAAAAACCTAGTGACAAATTGGTCAATTTTTTTTAGAGTGATAAACTTTTTATTCCCGACTTTAGAATTCCCAACATTTCATATTATAAGTATTGTGAAATTGACATGTGCAGTCCCTTTACTTTGATTTTGTCATCAAAAGTGGAGGTCTAAAAATGTCAACGACCGTGTTTGATATAGCAGTTGTTTGCTAGCTCATAGCCGGTTGTATCAGCAGATTGATATTAGCGGATTCCGGTAGTTTTTTTAACTAACCGCTTTCATTAGCATTTTGAATTACAATGTAAGTAACATAAAACTTGCAATTAGCTTTTCAAACGTAAAATGACCGTAAAAAATGAATTTAAAAGTTTATATATTTAAATTAATTTTATTTCTTTTTATTTTTAATAAGTCTTGGAAAAAGTTTTAAAAAATATGTTTACGTTTATTTTAAATATAATTAATGACACAATCATTTTTAAGATACGTACATTGATGCTAGTACACACATATAAATTCATATATTTTTAGTATTAGTATTTTAAATATGACCATTTATTAGTTTTTTAAATCTACTCCATTAAAAAATCTACTCCATATGACTATTTATTAGTTTTTTTAAAATCTACTCTCCATGGTTATTTAAAACAAATGTAAATATAATTTTTAAAACCTTTTGAAAGACTTAATAAAAATAAAAGAAATAAAGTTATGATAAATATATATACTTTTAAATTCATATTTTTATGGTTATTTTACGTCGTAACATTTAATCGCAAATAGTTACGTTAATAATATTTTATTTCAATTGCTAAAGAAAGCGGTTAGTTATAGAAGTTAATGGAATCCACTATTATCAAGATGTTGATTCAACCGTCTATGAGCTAGCAGACAACTGCTATTATCAAACATGACCGTTGACATTTTTAGACCTCCACTTTTGATGACAAAATCAAAGTAAAGGGCTGCAAATGTCAATTTCACAATATTTATAATATGATATGTTGAGAATTCTAAAGTCGGGAATCAAAAGTTTATCATTCTAAAAAAATTGACCAATTTGTCACTAGAGCTTTTTTTTTTTACCGATTTGTCTCAAATTGTTTTTTTTTACCAATTTGTCCAACAACCCTCTTTTTTTTACCAAGTCGGGAAACAATACACATGTTTTAGTGAGCATTAGATCAATACATTACATATTCAGGATTGTTAGAACAATCTTCAATGACTTTCATACATTGTTTAAAAAACCATGAAGTACACGACAGAATAACCTAAGATACATTCTGTAATAGTATTGTCAAATGCAAGAATGATTATCTCAATGTTTGAAAATATTAATTTTCTTATGACAAAGTTCCTCAAAATGTAACAAGTAACTTAGTACAATCACTCCACTCCAAAGGGAATATAAGAAAGTAGTTGACTACCGGTATAAGGAAACTTAATAATAAAGGAATATTCTTAATCACAATAAATTACACAGAATACACACAAGTAAAATATTCCAAAAATGCAATATTTGCAGTTATGGTTCATAACACCAGACAAAAAAATCACTCTTCCTAAAACCAAGTTTCCTCCATAGAGAGATCCGCAAAAAAGTTACTCTTTCGCGAAGCTTTTGAAAAAGCAAACACTTGTGCAATGTTATGTAAACTTTTCAGAGAGGAACTTTTCATTCAATAGTATGTTTTCTTCTTCTCTTGCGAGTAATTCCATGTCTGGGCAATGTACTGTGACAGAGAGACAAAACATTTCCTTAGAGAAATAAGCGAACAAAATAGAAGTAGGGCAAACTTGGGAAGTAAAACAGGAAGCTAAAAGTAAAAATTGACTAAGGATGTTTTTACTTGGAATGTAATTTATCCCAGAGCAGAACAGACCAGACTTGGATAGTTATAAAAACCAAACCAAACCAGACCAGTTCAGACCAGACCAGCAAATTACACTCCAAGTAAAAACATCCTAAGCAAGTACGAATATGAATATATACCTACTATTCTCGTGAATCTCTACGATCACTTATAAACTTGCATCTACCTACTCTTACAAGTTAAAACTCTTCGTAGCAGAATTTGGTTCTCAAGCTACCCAGAAATCCACACTGTATCAAACATGCAGCACTTGCTCGAAATCACCAAATATCCCAAGGCTAAACCAAGAAAAAAACTCATCTTTGGTATGCCATGCACATGCTTTGTCCAGCCAGCCTCTTTCTCCATTGGGTTAAGTACGGACCTCCGTTAACTTGGCGATAGAATTACGAGTAATAAACAAAGCACATAGTACTCCTCCGTGTTAAAGAAAAACATAAACTTCATCCTCATCATCAGCTGTGTGCAAAGTCAAAAGCTGGCGTAGAACTTGACATATATCATTCGAAAATGGCATTGAATCATCACCTGAAAGGAATTCATGGACCAACCCGTTCAACTCAATCAGACTGCACCCTGGCGTCTTCTTCATCCTCCTCCTCCTCATGAATCTCCTCATCATCGACACATAGTCCCACTTTCCCAAATCTGCATACACGTTTGTCAGAAGCACGTAGTTTCCGCTATCATCCGGTTCGAGCTCTGCCAAATGCTCCGCCGCGACTACCGCTGTTTCAACATCCCGAACAGTTCTGCAGGAACTCAACACTGAACCCCATATTGCGGAGTCCGCCTTCATCGGCATCCGATTTATGATATCCAGGGCACGTTTCTGGTTCCCCGTTCTTGCGAGAAGATCAACGAGACAACCGTAATGTTCAATTTCTGGGGTAATGGCATAGTCGTCTCGCATGGAGTCAAAGTACCTCAAACCGTCGTCCACAAGCCCAGCGTGCCCACAGGCCGATAACAGTCCAACGAATGTGATCTCATTCGGCAAGACATCCATCCGTTTGAACAGCGTGATGGCATCGTGGGCCCTTCCATGATTCGCCAGACCCACAATCATTGTGCTCCATGAGATCACATCCCGGTCGGATGATGGCATCCGGTCAAACACTTCCAGAGCTCCGTCCACGTTACCGCACTTCGCGTACATTTCCATCAGCGCGTTGCACACACGTGTCTTCCGTAAGAATCCCTTTTTAGCTGCGTAGAAATGAACCCATTCTCCTACCTCGAGCGCCCCCAGGTGTGCACACCCCGACAAGACTGCAACTAAACAGACCCAGTCTGGTTCCAGCCCGCCAACCGTCTGCATCCTTCTGAAAACATTTAATGCTTCTCTGTAACATCCCATCTTAGTGTAACCTGAAATCATGGCTGTCCAAGAAACAATGCTCTTCTCCGGCATCTCTTCGAACAACGCATTTGCCCTTTTAACCTTACCGGACTTTATGTACCCGGAAATGAGACTGTTCCAAGAAATTACATCTTTAACAGTCATTTCATCGAACAGGTTCTGTGATTCTCTTATGCTGTCTTCACCGCAACACTTGACGTACATGTCTAGCAACGAGTTTTGTATCACGTGATTGGAGTCCAGCCCGAATTTAAACACATGTCCATGCAATTGCTTACCGATATCTGCGCAGGTAAGACCTCCGCACGACCTGATAACAAATGGGTATGTGTATGTATCTGGAGAAACTGGCTCTTCACTCTCGGCGGCTTGTCTCCTCAACAGCAGCTGCATGTACATATATATGCAGGATCTGTACATCTTATTCTGTGTGTAGGCTCGGATTATAGAATTGAACAAATATATGTTTGGCTCTTGAACTTGCTTGAATAGCAAACAAGCATAGTCAATATCCCCATTTTTCTCACAAAAGTCTATCATTTTTGTTACCAAGAAATTGCTATGCGTTAGCGAGAATTTCACCATTTGGGAATGTATCTTCTTCATGGTGTCCACGTTCTTACAGTTTCTCAATACTAGCATCAACATATCTTCTAACCCTTTGGTCGTCAAGATTCCAGCTTTCGTGGCCGCCGTGGCCATTATTTCTTTCTCTACTGATAGATCCTAGGAATAATTCAGTTTTCCAATGACCTTTACTAGAAGAGATGAAAAGAAATACAATTTTCAGTACTTAGCCAGAACCAATCATACCTCTGAGACAACATGAACTAATTTTAAATTTACTTCAAATTAACTCAAGAGTTAGAAATGAAAAGTAGCCCCAAACTAATTCCAAAATTAGAAATAAGTGGTAATATAGAGAAAAATAGTAAAATCAAGTTAACACAAAAAACCTGAAATAAAAAGATTAAATTTTTACAGATAAAACCTCAATCTAATCGTAGACAGTGAAGACATTGTCAAATAAGGTAGTGTCGGGAAACCGACCAGACTGATGTGCTACTACCGTAACAAAAAATATAGAGACTGAAACACAGTCTGCAAAACAAGTCAGCCATTCCACAAGTCTGTCATTATAGTACGAAATTCATGCTCTCAAGAAGTCAAGATATAAAAAAGAAATGGAAACCAAATTGGGGGCTCTGAGATGTCCCAGGAGACTATGTTTTTCCTTATAAATTATGACACTTGAAGCTAGTTGAAGATCTGCATTGAAAGACAATACGCATACTCACACACACAATCTATTATAGCAATAGAATTAGGGGTCACAATGAACTTGCAACATAATACGGAGTAAGTTTTATATCAATTCTCAAAACAATCTATTTTTGGGAAGAGGTTGTAATTATCTTTCACTATAGCTACACCTATGAGAGCAACTCTCAGGAGTTCATCCCCAGCATCAGGAGCTCAGTAACCAGCCCTACCCACTACCACCACCATTCCACATGGCTACCTGGGCCGCCATCTATACTGTTACCAGAGTTGCAATCACCACCTCATCAACACTATTACCACCAATGGTATTACTTATTAGTCAACAGCTACAACTGCTGTCACCAACTCACCAATCCTACTATTGTTACTGTTAGTGTTGATGTCATATCACAATCCCAGCTTGAGGCTTTTTTAAGCGAAAGCTGCACTTAAGTGACATCATTTAGATTCTAAGAATGCAAAACAAAGCGCCCCTTTGATGCAGAAAGCAACGTGAGGCAACAAAGGTAGTATTCTCGCAGTGGTGGAGGGGATGGAGAGAGCCTCGGCCCCCAAGAAAAAATCTTATGTATATATATATGTGTGTAAATATTTACAATTTGTAAAAAAATATGTTGATGCTTTAAACCTTGGCCCCCACAATATAAAATTTTCAAGCCCCGGATCCCCTAACAATACATTCCTGGCTCCACCACTAATTCCTCGGTGCAAAAGCAAGCACAAAAGTTGAAAACAAATAAGATCATTTAGTAGTAGCAGAGGTACAGCAAGACAGCACAATTACACTTCAAACAAATGCTTTAATGATATTTCTCAGCGCAACAAATTAAAAAGGGAAAGAGGGCAGTCCAGTAAAGGAAAAATCTATACCCTCTTCATACATACATTACATTCTCTAAATAAAGAAGACCCATCAAGGACATCAAAGTAATTCTTTAGTATGTTTGTACCTCTTGTACTAACATGGATGCAAAATGATGAATTACTTTACTTCTGAGCAATTATTTGCACCAACCGGTTCTCTCAAGCAAGTTGATATCGCCATAACAGCAGATTCTATAGATGCATCTTCACCCTGCTCAGCATTAACCCATCAAGATAGTGAAATGATTATGGAGAAATACAAGAGATTGCAAATTATAATTTCACCTTTTCTCTCCAGTAAAAAATATTTCCATATTTCCCAGCCAAACGGCTCCAAAAGCTCTGTGGTATTTCTATATCCACAGAAGCTCCAACATTGAAGTTCAGTATATTTCCTGTTCAGACAGAGCACAAAAGAATCAATGCTGAAATTTAGTAAGAAAAGTTGCCTGGTCATCAAGTAGATCAACACCAATAGGTAATGAATGATTTTTTGCTGCCTCACCAAAAGTAGGATCAGCAACAAAGACAATAGTCTTGTCATCCACTTTCCAGAAGTCCTTGATTGCTAATCCTGTGGAGATTGGCAGGATAATTCCAGGCTCGTTGCTAAATATTTTAGTGAATTTCAAATGCTAAGTCATCAAGAAATGCACCTGGTGTATCGGGGTAATTTTGAGCCAAAATTCTCAACTTGAATCCAGTATCTCTTTCTATGTCTGTGATCACCTGTGCAAGTCTTTTCTCCTGCAGACAAATCATAAACAACATACGGAGTAATTTCTTTTATATAATTTTTCCCTTGCCCTTTATATGCAAAACACTTTATTTTATTTTATGAAATGCAGTAGATACTATAGAGGGAGATGGAAGACTGTTAATGAAGCAATTGAGTAAATTAGCGGAACAGTTAGCACCACAGCTCATTCTATCTCATCTTCTATCGTTGAACAACAAAACTTATAAGTTTTTTTACACATTAGCATTTGTATATGAACTTGTATCCATTTGTCAGAATGTCCAAAATTGTAGCCCATTGGTCAACCTATCACTTCTTTCATCGTTTAGTTTCTTTGAACATTTTTTAAATACTTCTGTATTAATACTAAATAAATAAAGTTTTATGAACAAAGTGTAAATAACTCCAGTCTAATTGTATCACTGTGGCCTTTCTCTGTTTCTCATTTAAGAAGATTTACAATTTTGTTCCTGAAAGGACATGAATTGGGAGTAGTTTAAGCAGATCATAAGAGTTCTTGAAACATGCACAAAACATAAGATTTAGCAGTTAGTAGCTATATTAACTATCATAAGAAGCACCACATGACATGTAACCTCAAAATTCATCGTTTCAAATACAATTAACAAATATATATTAATAAAATCCATTTCGGGGTGCCATGATTAAAAATACTATAGCTAGTTAACACGGAGTAGTAGTTAGAAAGCACATTTACCCAAGTTAAAATTTATAGCTTGCTAATACCAAAGTAATGCTCATAATTGTTATGCTATAACTTAATATAATGTTATTAGACCAAACGGGCAAAAGTTTGAAAACCAAATATGCCATTTACCCAAATTATAAAAAATGACAAGAACACATGTGATGAATGAGTTTTCCACTCTAGTCATACTACTATGGTAACAAAGACATTTGTGGTATATATTCTTGAGATTTTCAAAAACTTCTAATTATTTGTTTATTGTAATAGTGACATTTTTTCCAACTATAGTGGCAAAATAAAAATAACTAATACAACCAATGTCACCCTCACAAGTCACAATAGTTAAGGGACTAAAGACATGAAATTTAACCGCAAGACTTCTGAAACAGATTTCTAAAGTGTAGCTCTAGCAATAGTTGGAGTAAAAAATGCATATATTAAAAGTAGGGAAATTACCATAAACATGGCAAAAAATGTTCGTATATTCCAAAATAGGACTATCATGCTTTTATTCCCAAAATAGGACTACTCACTGCCATGTTTTGGCAGTACCAGACTTTAAACATGGCAAGTATATTCCAAACTTAGCAGTAATTACCCCTATTTTGAAAATAAAAATATGGCAGTCTTATTTTGGAATTTTCCAACTCATTTACTCCTATTTCCGGAATTTTCCCTTAAAAGTATCCCATGATAAGTAGAAAACTGTAAATGTACAAAAACTATGAGATGAATTCCCAATTCATCAGGGCTATAGATCAAACCTGGCCATCAGAGAGAAATCCTGCAACATCAATAACAGTGGTAAACTCCTCAGGCAGCAACTCCGGCTTGTTTACCCCTATCTTTCCCTCGGCAAATGCAACCTCTACAAAAATTTCAGTTTGTTCACTTACACCAGCCTAATCCGAGAAAGACTATTCCCATAAAAACAAATGCAAAAAATACATGTTAAAACTTCATTCAAAACGTAAAAATACTTCATAGCATCAACAAAAAAGGAGATGCCGAGGAGATAATAAACTAGCATTAATTCAAATACGTAGTAAGATTTAAGCTTACCTGGAGCTCACAATTAGACTATTAATATACTTTATAAGTTTTAGGATCAAAATGCAAGAGGTTTAAAGATAAAAGGGAGTATTAGTAGTGACCGGAGAGAGAGATAGCGAGAGCCAAGGAACCAGAGAGCAAGAAGTTCAAAGGCTTGAACTGGAAATTGGCATTTACTTTGATGCGATTTGAAGTTCGAAAAGTCCCCTGTTTGAAATTGGAAAGGAATGAATTAGTGGAGTTTCGGGAATGAGAAGAAGTTGCTATACACAGCTGAGGAAGAAGCTTTGTGGCCATTCCCAAAAATCCTGAATGTTGATGATTTCAAATGTCAAGTATAAGTGTATAACTTCTATATAGTTCTTTTAGATTATATTTCTTCTCTTTTAATTTATGAGTCAAGTTTGGTTTTCAGTTTTCAATTCTGAAGTAATCTAGACCTGTAAATAAAAAAATGAATTTTTGTTGTACCAAAATAAGAGTGAGGTGTACAAGATTTATAGTTCCTGAATTAAAATCTAAAGGAAGATTTCTACAATTTTTTATTTAAATAAAAAGCACTAGTGAATCCTTTTAAGAAGAATGTTACAAACTTTATAAATGCAGGCCAAGGATTTTTTTTTTTTATAAAATGATTAAAATTTGACAAAGGATTGTATAATGTTTTAAAATTCACTTGTTCCAAAAAAATGTTTAAAATTCACTATATTAACATTTACAATTCACACCAACATGTACACACACATATGATCAACTAAATCAACCTTAAAGTTCTTTCGAAATTTCTAATAAGTTCATGGTTATCTTTAAATAGAGTGACTTTAAGAAGTTTTCAATGCATTCTACAAGCAAAAATGCAAGATGGACAGTCCACTTGCAATTTGAGAAAGGAGATCATAAAAATGACTTCTCAGATTGATTGAAATTCAAAGTAATTTTGACATAAGTGGGATACTTAAGGATTAATAACACTCTAAATGAGTGAAATACCTTAATCGCCACTCAAGCTACACACTCACAACTAGGGGTGGACCCGGGCCGGTTCGGGCCTGGGCCCGGCCGGGCCACGGGCCAGAAAACTGGGGCCCGAGCCCGAACCGCCGGTGGCCGGTTCCGGTTCCGGGCCAAACCGGGCCGGGCCGGGCCAAACCGGTCCAATTTTTTTTTTGGTTCTCCTATTTAACCCCCTACCCTCAACCCCAAACCACCTCAAATGGCCCAAAATACCTAATTCAACCCAAAAATTTCAAAAAAAAAAAAACCGGCCCGGACCGGGCCCGAACCGGCCAAGCAGGGCCCGAGCCCGGACCGCCCATCACCCAGGCCGGGCCAAACCGAACCGATGGACCCACGGGCCCCGGGCCGGGCCAAACAGTAACCGGGCCGGGCCGGTTCCGGGTCGGGCCGCCCGGCCCGAGTCCACCCCTACTCACAACTTAATCACCTTACTCATCAGTCAAACTTCTTACTCACTAGTGTAAGGGACCCGGTAGAATATGAGTAAATAAGAGAGTAATAGCTAGAGTAGTATAAATAGAAGGGGAGTGAATAAAAAAGTAAAATATTAGACAATTAAACTATGCGGGGAGAAATTGAGATTACTTGTCTCGATTCTTGGAACTCTCGTTGTATTTTCATTCACCATTAATGAAAGTATTTACTGTTTCTTGAACTCTAAATTCTTATTGTTAATCTACTCAATACATGTGTTAGTTCTATCAACTAGTCACCATCCATTCACATTATCATCACACAAGCATGTAACAGTGCTCCCAAGTACCTTAACTGTCACTCAAACACCTTATTAATCAACAATAAATCGTATCCATCACCTAGACATATTAATCGTTAACCATGAACCTTATTGACTTATTCGTCGCTTAAGCACTATATTCATCTTCCAACAACTTGCTCAACTTATTCCTTGATGAGACGCAACAATCTCATATTCAAGCAAGAAGTCTTCTTGACATATTAAGGAAATAAGGTCTTTGGTTACTTATTTCAAAGTTAGAATTGTAAAACATCTGTTTTATCTCTTATTTTCTTATAACCTATTCCGAACTCACATGTATCTTACATAATAGAACTTAGGTACTACAGTTTATTTATTGGAGTATTTAAGGCGTTTGTCCAAATCACCGTTTCTTAGTAGTTAGTACTGCTCAACAGGTATTCTTGTAATATGTTTAATAGGTATTTTCTTTTATCATTCATATTCTACAAAGACATGAAAGGTTGTTGTTGCTGCTCATATTCTGAAAGGTTCCTTATTTAAAAAAAAAACATGAAAGGTTCCAGCGTGATTCAATGGAGAATTGGAGATTCAATACTTGTCCTCTCGCATCAATATATGCACAACTGCACAAGAAGTATATGAATCAATTAGGATAAATATTTACTCCTGGAGATAGCATTGATGAGTATTCCCTCATTCACTATACTTCATAGCTTCATATGGTTGGTCACTCAGGCCAGACAAAATTTAGTAAAACAAGCAAACGGTGTAACGTAATGGGTGAGGTAAACGACATTACATAATTTTTAACATTTACTGAACAAAACACTAAGAGCATGGGCAAATCCTCCTTGTATGTTTATGAGAACCGCTGCAGGATAGCAGAGACTCTGATGTTGTGTACAAACATGCCCCTGGATTCTGGAAAACAAGAGGAAACAATATAAAAATTAGACAGTTGGCTTCTTCTTTTCATCTTCTTCAAAATACTGCAGTCCATGGCTCATATGACTATATCAGCAATATATGAAATCTTATATTCTGTACTCTGTAGAATCGGTAGATGTTACAAAGGTAAACGTGTTTACATAATCAGAAAGTTCTTATTAAAAGTTGAATGGTAACTGGTGTTCAGAGCAAGTACTCAGTAAATAGAATTCGTGAGTGGAACATTAGTGGGCAATTTACCAATGTTGTTAAGGATCAAAATATCCATTGTCATATTCGTGTATAAATCCACTGTTGAGCATTTAGTTAGGAGGTATATTACATGGGCTTGTTTGGTAATTGATGGTAATCGACTAATAGATGCACTAAATAAACAAGAAACAACCATTACAAATGCACTAGTATTCCGCTTTTATTGTTTTATTTGATGATTAGCAGATTACATTAGATGACCAAACAAACCAACCTGATCGGATCAAATAGATTTACTTAAACATGCGAGATGCGAGCCACTTTTTTCCCCCATGTTTCATGTCACAAATACATCAAAGACTAAAATGTACATATCTGCATTCATATAGTACATGCCAGAATAAAAAACTTCTATCTGATTCAGATTTTTTGCACAAGAAATACCATAAACCAGGGCATCATACAATCTTTTTCAACTTTATGTTATGTTGTCCTTCAAAAGGAAATTATTTGCAAGTTTAGCATGCAGGTTATGTAGTCATAGCTAGTTGTATACCTCTCCGATGAAAGCACCTTAGAATGATCACATACGGCGAATATAAGTTGCAGCATAACATACAATAAAAGAGATGCAGAATAAATAGCCCAGATAGAGCACTATACCAGATCTCTAGGGGAATCATCAACTACTTCCGCAGGTTGGTCAGCTCCAATACTTGACAAGCACCCACCTTTACAGCTCAAGTGTTTCTGCATCCTGTTCATGAGAGAGAGATTAGATCAGGTTTAACACAATATATAATGACGTAAAGTTGAAAGATAAAAGGGCGTGATTCTAAATGAGTTGGTACTTGATATCAACATACTCTGATTGTGAAATATTAAGGCCTTAACCTATATTATGTGTATCATACGGCCATTTATACCAATATCATTATTATGTAATAAACTCTTCACTTATGTTACAGAAAGCCTATCATTTCTCAAGGAGTAAGAGCCTCTTTCTCGTGCCTCATAAACAGCAAGCAATAGCCTTTCTTCAATGATTTAATCCGGTGAGATGGTGGGTTTTATGGGATTAGAAAAGGGAGAAGACCAGTGGAATTTAGATAGTGGGTGAGAAATATGCTCCCTATATTTTAAGTAGTGTTGACATCCATAAGTCGAAAGAAACTTTTAAAGTTTCAGGGTTGAGAGTTGCATTTCACCCCTTCACTGAAATAATGAAAACATTTAGTCTTGATTTTCAAAGTTGTATGACTTTAAGCATCACTCGACATTTGGAGACTCGTTAAAAGTCTGAGCTGAATACCTGCAAATTTTAAGGAGATATCTAGCATATGCATCATGTACGTTATGCATAATAAGATTCATCATCATGGGAATCAATATCCCTATTAAGTCCCACAAATAGAAACGTTGAACTCATATCCCTATGCAACTAGTAAATGATCCTTTCAATTTTCTACATCAAATGCTTCTTATTCTTATCATATGCCTAAGACAGCCATCTCAAACATTTAAAGACTCTTTAAATGTTTGAACTGAATACTGCCAAAATTTTAAAGACTTTAAAAGTGCAAAAGTCTTGATGAATGCAACCCTCAAACAACTCTTCCCCTAGCTTCAGATGGAGGAAAATAGAGAGGATGACAAGAGTGAGACGAACAGTGGCAGATGGAGGAAAATAGAGAGGATGACAAACTAGGGGAAGGATGACAACTCTTCCCCTAGCTTGAATAGACTAACTCCTCCAGGTAAATGATGACAAGAGTGAGACGAACAGTAGCAGACGGAGGAAAATAGAGAGACAGAGCAAGGTGAAAGTGTGGAAAGAATTTAAGATCACATGTACAAACTCACATTTCACAGTGATTAAGCACCGGTAGTTTGTTGGGTACACAAGATTCATCACTTGAATTGCATGCCGAATCGCATGATTCCCCTCGCCTTTTTCCCAGCACCATGCAAAATAGCAGACAATATAACTACTTATGCAGTCAATAAAGCCAAACCACAGAAGAATCATAACTAAAATAACAAACCTTCCAATGACAATGTTGATCCCGGTCAATTGTAATTTCAATTGCTGATCAGAAAATCCTATTAAATACATATACAAAATGATACATTAAGTCATACAAACAACAAGATATCATTCAAATATATGCACTGGAATAACTGAATACCTCAACTAAAAATGATGCAACTGTCCGTTTAAACACTTTATTTGTTAGTGATAAATTATGTATTTAAACATCTTTGTGCAACTAAGAAATTGTTAAAATTTCAAAATGGAAATGAGATAGCATTGTAATCACATACTGTTCAAGTTTAGCAATGGCATGATATATTCAATAGGAAAAAAGCGCTAAATATCTTTCAAAATTTAAAAGGTAAGAACAATAACTTCTACCCCCTCCGTCCCATAGAGAGGTTCCCGATCCGGTTTACGATGCTTGACCGGCGATAAAGCAACTTCATCCCTGTTCACACTGATTATTTTTAATGAATAAAT